AAAAAAAAAAAAAAAGAAAGGCTGCCTGGCATTTTACTCTTTAAAACTTTACAGAATCCTTGTGAGAAGGTGGCTGCTTGCTGTCAGTTAAAGGAGGCTTGCCAAGGTGGGCTCAGGTCTTAGAGACTTTGCTGCAGTGCTACCACGCCAGCTGTAGCCCTGCATTTCAAAATTGTGGTCACTCTTTCTGCTGTTGTGATCATAACTAGAAGTATCATGCTCTTTCGTGCACTGGTTGTTGTTAAGTGCTTTATTTGTATGATGCTGTATAGCCATTTGAGTCCAGGGGTGTTGCTGCCTTACTTTATGGAAGGTGTTGCCCAGAGAGAATTAAAGATCCTCTCGGCGTCCCCTAGTTAACTGTGGTGCATCCAGGATTTGAATATAGATGTTTAACTCCAGACTCCATGCTCCTAACTACAGGGTAGTGTAAAATGTCCTACTAGGAAGTTTCAGGATTACTTGGAATTTTAATATGTCATTGTGAAAAGTGTGCATTTGTGTCTCTGTGCAAGTGGGAGTAATCAGAGTAGTCATAAGTACAGCCATTAGATTTAATGAAATAGGTAGTTGGTAACATGTGCTGCACTGTATAAGGGAATGGGGCCTTTAAAATCTAGTGTTTTTCCAAACCCACCCTCTGTGTGGTGGCAGACCCAGCAGCCTGGCGATGTCCTGGCAGGTTATCTAGCCTGTTCTCATTGACTGGCTTAGGTGTACACTTTAGTATTATTTGCTTGTCATGTAAATTATTTTGATGGTCCTAGTTACCAGTGAATTTGCTATGATCAAACCAGTGTCAAAGTTAGACCAGAAGCTTCTATTTTAAATTGGTAAACATTTTGATATTATTGATCTGTGCAGCATGGTAACGCATATGATTCTGTGTTAACTTGGAATTCTCAGAGTGTTGGATCCTTGCTCAAAAATCTGGCGAGGTGGCTCCCTTTCAAGGAAGCTGAGCCTCTTTCCTGACTCCTGCTTTGTGAAGTATACGTGCTGGGCCCGGCAGCTTTATCTTTATTCCTGATGACGTCAAGACAGCTGCTGGCTTTTCTCACTGATTCTCACCAGTTGAGAGAAAGAACCACGAGCAAAGGCTATTCTGGGCCAGTGTGGCTGAGGGTGACATCTCCTGGACTTTGGGGCAGAGCATGTCCCTTGCTAGTGTCTGTGTTCAGTGGAACATCACGGCTCTCAGAAGCAGTTTGCAGGGTTTGCCCCACATCTGTTTCAGTGAGGAGGAGAAATCCATTGGGAGCATGGCCTTTCTTAGTAGGAAATGTTGTAGCTTGTGGAGAGCCTTCTGGTGTTTTCCTCCACAGTTACAAGTAATTAATAACCTAAATTAAGGACTCTTGCTCCTCTCCTCTCCTGGCCCATCTGGCAGCCTGTTTGGGTTTCCCTGGGTAGTTTGTTAGCTTCTCTTACCAACAGGGTAAGGGGCATGCAGAGTCTCACTGCTCTGGGCAGAGCAGTCCCAGAGAGTAGTGATCTAGAGAAGTCTTCACATTATTTTTGATTTAATCCTCTTTTTATCTGCAAAATTATAGGACCTATTTCACGCAAGTCATGACGGAGGGGAGCCAGTCCTTAGAGACCATTTTGATCAAGCTCCTGATTTTACAGATGAATTTGAGTTGCATGGAAGGGGGGAAGGGCCTTCTCTGAGCCCATAGCTAGTTAGTTCCTGAACCTGAAACTGAAGGCCTCTAGCCCTCTCAGCCCTGGACTCTCCTCTCACTTGAGCATTGTTGCTGACTGAGTCTGACTTCACATGGAGAAACCTGCCACCTGTTCCTGAAGAGTGCGGTCTGGTTTCTCTGAGTGGGGTGATGAATGGCTTGGCCCTGGCCCTGGCCCTGGCCCATCTGTGGTTAGAATAATCTCAGCTTTCCTGGCAGCCAAAGGATCTCTGCTGCCTCCTGCTGCTCATACCAAGTATGGTGTTTAGGCAAGAGAGACACACTATGATTTGACAAGCAAAAGTAACAGACTGAAAAATTAGTGTTGGCTTCTTTTTAATGCTGTTTGTCAGATGTTGTAAGGGGAACTCTTTTCTTTGAGGGTGATGCTTGATTTGGTGCCCCCACCTATAATCATAGTTCTTCTGTATCAATGGTTGTAAGATACCTTTCTGTGCTGGTTGTTTCTGGGGTGCTTTATTACTTTAAACTTTACTACTAAGAACTGAAATGTTATTTCTGAAAATAAAACCATTTTAAATACTAATTCAGAGTTCAAAGAAAGTATGAATTGAAGCTTTATTGCTGTGTTGGACCATACAAGTTATCAAGTAAAGCCCTTTCACATCAGAGCTTGTAACAACTGAGATCCAGAGAAGTGTAAGTAGTGACTTAGGATGTTATAGGTATATCTCATCAATACCAGTACAAATCTTTTTAGCCCCATCTCACTGTTAATCTTGAGTGTCCTATGTGCTAGGCCTTCTTTCTGTGGTTTTCCATAGATGATTTCTGAATCTTACTATATTTGTGTCTAACACACGTGTTTTCCCTCTTTTATAGTGAAAGCAAAGAGTGCTTACGCACCATGCCCAGGGGTATAACACAAAGAGTGAATGATTAACAGTTTAAAAGCTGAGTAGTCCCAATGTCAAGTTTTAATACTACCTTGTTTTCTTTTCTGTAATGATTTGCACTGTCTTTAATAATGTACTTAATTTGTCCCCATGGTAAAGCCTTTTCCCAATATTTATTGTCAGACTTTATACCCAGTGATTTTTTTTCCTTTTTTTTTTTTTGAGATAGACTCTTATTGTGTCCCCCTCGGTAGAGTACAGTGGTATGTATCATAGCTCACAGTAACCCCAAACTCTTGAGCTCAAGTGATTCTTTTGCCTTAGCCTCCCAAGGAGCTGGAACTACAGGTGCCCGCCACAACATTTGGCTCTTTTTAGAGGCAAGGGCTCACTTTTGCTCAGGCTGGTCTGGATCTCGTAAGCTCAAATAGTTCACCCACTTCTGTTTCCCTGAGTGATTGGATTACAGGCATGAGCCACTGCACCCAGCCTACCCAGTGATTTTTAAGGAAAGTTAGCCCAGTTGAGTGCAAGAGAACATTTTAAACATCTGGCACCTTAAATTTTTTCAGAGAACACTTATTGCTTGTCTTGAGTACATCACTGTTACTGAACACTTAAACCTGCATCCC